ACTTGTCTAAAAAGACAAACCATCTATAACATTAGCTCTAAGATTGTGGCTAGATTTGGGGGGAAGGAAAAGAGGAAGTGGTTTGTGCGCAAAAACAAGGGTAGTTCTATTCTATAGTTACACAAATGTATTAGCTTTGTTGTAAATTATTGAGCATTACATTAATACTTCACTGTGGATGCATTTCTGTGTGGATGTTATACATCAATAAAAATGTAAATATTACATATTTAATTCTAACGTAATATTTCAGAATAGTAGCAATGTTTTGTATTGTTTTGTGTGAAAGTGGGGCATTGGCCGGGTGTGGTCCACTGCACTCCAACCTGGGCACAGAGTGAGACTGCATGTCAAAAAAAAGAAAGAAAAAAGTGGAGCATTTACACTCAGTCATCATGAGATAGACATTAACATTCCAAGGTATGTATACATGTCTTGACCCTTGGGAGTCCCCCTCAGTCTCATTTATTACATCAACTGAGTAAGTAGCATGGTTTTAGTTTTGGGGAATGTAAATTTCTTACAGCAAAGTCCTTCCTCCACAACAATATCCACCTAGCACCGTGGGCTGCACATAGTGTGCACTCAGTGTTTGTAGAACTGGTTTGAATCAGGAAGAAAACAAGTAGCAGAGGTCAGTTTTGCAAAGGAAAGAATGTAGATAATACAGGTAAGACTGAAAGGGCACAACTCAACAGCAAACACTTTTTACATTAATTTGAGAAATGTTTTCAACTGGTTCTCCGAAAGATGTTGGTTTACAGTAGACATTTGGGAGTGTGGTTGCATATTGTAATCACCTGGAGAGCTTTAAATCACACCGTTGCCTGGGTCTCACTCTAGAGATTCTGGCTTAATTATTCCCTTGCAACTTGGGTTTGGGAACTTTAAATACCACCACCCACATGCACAGCAGGCTATTCTAATATATATCCAAGGGAGAGCAGCATTGATTCAGGGTGAGGGACCACCACCCACACGCACAGCAGGCTATTCTAATATGCATCCAAGGGTGAGAAGCATTGATTCAGGGTGAGGAATGCATTCGTTGTGTGTGATTTCTGTGTGTGCTCTGGACATTTGCCCTATAACTGTTCCTAAATGTAGAGTCTTAGAAAACATCTTGGCCCTTCGAAGCATACTCTGCTAATTGGCTAAATTGCAGCAGGAAAAATAGCAGCAGCCCTATTGCTATGTCACTTGCCTTCAGAGCAAAAGTTGTTTCAGGAACAATAATTTGATTTAGTCTATATTAACAATCATAAATAGTCAACAAATACAAAAAATAAAGAGTTTGCCGCTATGTTGAGTGCATTATAGGTGTTTTCAAATTTCTCCTGTAATAAATTAAAAATGTAACGTTGGGCATTACTTTCCTAAACCCAATGCTCAGCAAAATCCTCAAATTATTTCCAGTTTTTCCAAGAGACTTCAGAACCATTCCCTGAAGTGAATTATTTCCAATGGTGAAGAGTAAGGGGTGGATGGGATGAGATTCTCAAAAAAAAAAAAAAAAAATTTGCTTCTATTTCAGAAGTGTCACTCTTCAGCCCCTTGATGGACACGAAAAGCTGGCTGAGTAGTATGGTCTATGGAGGTGCATGGGCTTCAGAGTTAGGAAAGCATCAATCCTGAGTCCAAGCCAGCTGCTTGGTAGCTGTGGGACAGTTATATGAGCCACATCTACAAGAAAAGTCATGATAAAATTGATTGCAAAAACAGCAATTAAAAAAAATTCTTACTGTATTCATGTTCTTGGAAATGGCTTTTATAGTTGTTCCCATCAGAGACAGATTCTGTTTCCCAAACTTGAATCTCTCTTGACTTATTTGCACAGGCCAAAGCTGTGCATGTGATAGTGTGCCAGTTTGGGGCCCAGGTTCAAAAGGTCTTAAACGCTTCTGTTATCTTATTCAGAATTCTTCCATCTCTATGAGAACAAGCCCATTTTAATTTTCTGGAGGATAAAATAGCATGCTGGGAAAAGCCAAAGTGCCTCAGTTTACAGACAGCTCACTCCCAGAAGCAGAGCCACCTAATTCACCAGCAGCTGACCACTCACACCTGTAGGAGCCAAACTGAGCCCAGAAGAATGGCCCAGCTGAGCCCAGTCTAAATTTCTAACCAGCTTAATCCTGAACTAGTATGATTTGGGATTGTTTGTTATGCAGTTATAGCTTAGTATTATATATACCCATTAAAGACAAGATTCCAGGACAGATTGATTACAAATAACCTGCAAATGCTTGGCACCCTGTAAGTATTGATTTTGTGTTTCCTTTATTTAAAGTTAAATTTGTTGTAAGATGGTATTGACTTATAGAGAAGTGAGGCAGGAGAATAGGGTCTGGAGGCAGAGAACTTAAGGCCAATTCGTGCTGACTTCCTAAAAGAAAAAACACCAAGGTCTGGGAGCAGGGAACCTAAGGCCAATTAACGTGAACTTCCTACATGTAAACCAAAAGGAGAAACCTCATCTACACCTGAGTAGCAAAGGATCAAAGGCAACTATCACTACAACCCTCCCCCTGGCACCAGTTCTCTGATAGAAAAGGAGAGTGCCTTGGAGTGGCTGTGGGCCAAGCACAGGCCATGCCTTCATCTGCATAGGGTACCAATTTACCTCAGCCTTTGATTAGCCAGGGACCAAATCTTTCACCCAGATAAGGGGTAGCTGATAGGGATCTCAAAAGGAGTACTTAAAACCCAGAAAACTTTGTAACCAGGTCCTTGAGCTGCTTGCTGGGTCCCACACCCACCCTGTGGAGTGATTTCTTGCTTTAATAAACCCCTGCTTTTGCTGTTTCCTTCATGTGTTTTGTTCCATTTTGCATTTTGTTCAATGCTTTGTTCAAAATGTCAAGGACCTGGACAACTCACACTCACGGCCTTCCTTCTGGGAACAGAAGTGCAGGTAGATGTGGATGCATGTGATTGGTGCTTAAACTCACACAGTGCCCCACACCACAGGAGAAAAACACAGTTATAGTCTGACAGTTAGGTACAAAGATAAATAGCAAAACCAGAAGTTTGCCTTTAATCTATTCCCTCCACATCTAAACTCTGGAGGGCAAGGCTGTGAAGAGATCTGAAGACATGGTGCTCTCTCTTCCTGTGGCCCCATCATTCCTTGTTTACTATCTGATATTTAAAAGGAAGAGGATCCCCTGAGAGAGGAGGCAGTCAGAAGCTGGTTAGGAAGATAGGGAGGGAGGGTCTCCCGAGAGGAAAAACACCCATGGGACCACACATGCACCACCCCTGTAGCTAGTGGGAAGAAATGTGGTTAAGAACTTCCTCTTGGCCGGGCACGGTGGCTCAAGCCTGTAATCCCAGCACTTTTGGAGGCCGAGACGGGTGGATCACGAGGTCAGGAGATCGAGACCATCCTGGCTAACACGGTGAAACCCCCTCTCTACTAAAAAATACACACACACACACACACACACAAAAACTAGCCAGGCGAGGTGGTGGGCGCCTGTAGTCCCAGCTACTCGGGAGGCTGAGGCAGGAGAATGGCGTGAACCCGGGAGGCGGAGCTTGCAGTGAGCTGAGATCCGGCCACTGCACTCCAGCCTGGGCCACAGAGCGAAACTCCATCTCCAAAAAAAAAAAAAAAAAAGAACTTCCTCTTATGCCAGGATGTTGATCAGAAGGGACTGTCCCAACTTAGGCCCAGGTGTAATAAATCAACCTCAATGTCTAACTTGACCAAGTTCCTTATAATGTTACCTGACATAAGTATTTTGGTTTTTGCTTCACTCTTTCCACCTGCTATGGGTTTCGCTTGGGCACTCATGGGTAATAACTAAGATGGAGTCATTGTAGTCAATGCCAGGCATGCTCAGATGTAACACTGTTATAGGGGAACTTTACCCCTCCCATTTGGGCAGAACCCACAGAAGTGTTCCTTGTTCTTGCCACATAAAAGACCCAGAACTCAGCCCCATTTCTGGCAACCTGCTTTCATGTCCCCTCTTGCTGCTGAGAGGTTTCCTTTTGCTTAATAAATCCTACTCTGCTTTACTCACTTTCTGGTGTCTGTATGTCTTATTCTTTCTGGTCATGGGAAGAGAGCCCAGACCTGGCTGAACTGAGGAGACCACCACACTGGCACCAGACAGCAACTGGGAGACAGTGATCTTCACGTGGACACTCTCAGCTTACAGCCCAGGCTCTCCTTGGGGGCACTGTCCCACCCATCCTTGAGCCTGAGGAGAAAAGTTGGCAGAGAGGCTGTTCCCTCACTTGCAGCAGAAGAGAGGTGTTCAGTCCCCTTGCTTCCTTGAAGTCAGAGCCGTCATGGCTTCACTCAATGTGGCAGCCACCTGCCATATGTAGGTACTGGGTACCTGGAATGTGGCTGATTTTAAGGAAAATGTGCTGCAAACATAAAATACACAGTGAGTTTAGACGAATGAGATCAGAAATATACTTTATTTCTAATTATATATTGATCACATATTAAAACAATATTTTGTATACAATAGGTTAAAATTATCATAAACAATTTCACTTGTTTCTTTTTATTATTTTTGATGTGGCTAATAATAAATGGAAAATTCACAAATAGCTAACATTTTATTTTTTAAAGGATTGCTTCCCTCTTAAAATCTCAGGTGTCCTACTCAAAAGACCAAAGGACAGAGAGGTTATGAAATCTAAAATATAATTGCCATTATATTGTTTCCATTTGTGAACAAGTGTGTGGCGCGCGCGTGCCTGTACAATTTATAAATGGACGTAACATTACACACCAGAAGGTTAAAAATGAACCCCCAACAGAGCCAAGCCTAGCCGCAGAGAGAAAACCCTGACTGAAAATACATGGAGGCAAGAGTCTGTCACTCTTGCCTCATTAACTGCACTGTTTGGTGGCAAGTTATGTCACTCAAATTCTGAGGGTGTGGAGCTTGGTGTCCTATCCAATCAGAGCGCTGGGCTGAGAAGTGCCCAATCAGGCGCGCAGCGGGAGAGGAGGGGGCGGCATCCGGGATTAGGCGCGGCTTTTGCCTCTCGCTCCAGCTTGAGGTCGGTTAGGACCTCACCGTCCGGCTTCCACCAGTCAGGGAGGCCTAGGTGATTCGGGCATAGCTTCAGCCTCCGTCGCTCTGTGACTTGCGCTTATTGGATGATTCGTAGCTGAGACTCCGTGACACCCCTGAAGTGGGGAAATGGTGAGTGTGCGGGGCAGGGCGTCCCAAGGCTGGGGAGGCCTCATCGGAACCGGCGGGAAATGGCGGCGGCGGGACCGAGACTGTGAGTGGAGTTCCCGCTCAGCCCTCGGTCCTCAGTCCCCTCCGGTGAGGGTCCCGGGCTCCTGTCGGCCCCCGCGCGGCAGCCTGCAGCCCTCCTCGTTCAGCTCTGCGCCCGCAGCCCTGCACCTTCCCCGGGCTGTGGGATGAGGAGCTCACCGGGAAGACGCCGGCGCGGCGTGCGCGGGCATCGCGTGGGAGGAGCTGTAGTCCGGGGTCCGGTTTCTTCTTTACCCTTTTCGGAATGAGATCGAGGCCCCGTCAAAACACAGAGTTCATGTGAGCAAACAGGACTCATTAATGGGACAGCGCCGGCCATGGCTCGTGGTTTGGGGGCTGCCAGCCGGTCTTGAAGGAAAGGCTTTTGTGAGGTGTGTGAGGAGGGGAAGCCATTCACCCGCCCGCCCCAACTTTCCACCGGTCCCCTTGCCCTGAGCGCCTCCTCCGCGTGGCTGTTCCTGAGCGGCATCTTTTAGAATACGCTGGTGTCCTGTGCACAGCGCTTCGCTGAGTTCTGTGAGTGGTTCTGCCACATTATGGAACTTGAGGAGGGTGTGGGCGCCCCTGGTTTGTTGCAGACGTTCAGAAATGAAGACAGGTGTCCAGAGGCAGGGACTGGCGTCTGCAGGGGGGCAGTTGAGGGAAGAGCGCGGAGCTTGTGGGTCTGCGCTGACTCTGGGTGGGGTCGTTAGTGAGTGGCTGGACAGCCCGTTGAGGTTGGAGCGTTGAAGGGTGTTGAGGAAACTCCGCAGGTTTTCTGTCAGAAGAAAGAGATGGGGAGCCTGGGCTGGAGGGAGGTGTCTGGGGTCTGCGGGAGGCGCTAGTGGGTTCTGCACATGCGCGATCCTGCTGGGCACTGTCGGATTCCTCCAGGTCTCCTCCCGGGGAGAAAGGGAACTGGGAACTTAGAGGAAAGGAATTCTGAGAAACACCCCTTCCCTTCACCCTGCTGCTAGCCCCCACTTAATGCTAACCCACTACCCAGGACGCTCACTGGGCATTCACATTGCCCCACTCCTCCCAGAACAGGGTTCTACCCTCAGGAATTGTGCCCATGACAGCTTCGCTCCTAGGGTGTTCTGGCAAGAACACACACAGTGCCCGGAAGACTCCTGGCTCATTTGAACCCCAGACACTGGATCTGTAGCAGGAACCTGTTTCCTTACCTCACCCAGGCTTTGGGACCACCTGATCCTAATCTCTGCCTTTATAGACCCGGCAATCAGTCAGATGGTAGCCCTGCCTGGGCCTGCACTTGTAGCACAAACCAGTCCTTTAGTCAGTCCTGCCCTGCCCGCACCCATCACTCTTGATAGCTCCTTTCTCTCTTCTGCTTTTTTTCTTCCTCACAAATCCTCTTTTCTGTGCCCACAGTGTGCCCAAGTCCATCTGTCACTTGCCTACGAGAATTCAGACGTTAGTGAGTTCAAGACCATGCCTTTAAACCTGGCTGTTGTAGGAGCAAACCCAAGTTAGACGCGGCTTAATGGTCTTTCTTTAGAATGAGGGAAGAATTTTTGCTCTTCTCCCTTTTCTTAAAGCATTTAGTTTGAAAACTTTTTTTGTTTTGTTTTTTTTGAGCCGCAGTCTTACTCTGTTGCCCAGGCTAGAGTGCAGTGCTGTGATCTCGGCTCACTGCAACCTCCACCTCCCGAGTTGAAGCAATTCTCCTGCCTCAGCCTCCTGAGTAGCTGGATTACAGGTCTGCACCATCACGCCCGGCTAATTTTTGTATTTTTAGTAGAGAGGGAGTTTCACCATGTTGGCCAGGCTAGTATTGAACTTCTTACCTCAAGTGATTTGTCCGCCTCGGCCTCCCGAAGCGCTGGGATTACAGGCGTGAGCCACTGTGCCTGTCTTGAAAACTTTTATATTTATGTATTTTCTCTGCTTCTTTAAAATTTATATAAATCATTTTTATCAGTTAAGTCATTCGTCTTTTTTGAGTCAAACTTGTCTTTATCTAGGACCTGGAAACTATTGCTTTGAAATGTAAATAGCAACAACATACACCCTATCCCCCAGTTTCTGTAGGCGAGTAGGAGGCTGCCTTCAGCAGGTACCTAGCCTCACATTGCAAATCTACCTCCTGTCATGAAGATGTTGGAAGTTTATTTTTTCTATGAATATTACCAATTAGAAAACCCAGATGAGTTCTCAGATTACTACGTAAAATTACAATAAGCTGTATATGACAAATGGTGCTGTCATGTCTTCTACTTGAGAATTATGGTGAGTTTCTATGTTTGTAGTCTCTTAGTAGATTGCCTATGATGCACATCACATTTTGGTTTAATTATGTAAGAAAACATTTTCTTCTCTGTTGTGGACAGTTTTTTAGGATTGGAGATGATTTTGCTTTTAGTTATATTTTCCACACACTGTCCAGAATCACCAGACATTATACACAAGTGCCCTCTAGGTTTCACTTTAGAGAAAAACCTTTCTCAGGATTCCACTCACAACCCACAATTTGGTGGCAAGGTGCACAAAGTGCAGCAAAGTGCTCCCCAAATCTGGAAACAGTATGGTCTCTCCTTCAATTTGAGATCTACAGTCCCTTCTATAACAGTTATACTGGATTTCTACAAAAATAACTTTTGAGTACTGCAATCAGTTATTCCTCCTTCGTCGGTGTGCCTGGCATCTTCAAATCTGACACTGATTCCGTGATCATGGGGCCTGTAATCCCAATCAGGATCCTACATGTGCATTGATTAAACCTGAGAACTTCAACTCCCTTCTCCCTTTGCCCAAATGCCCACAAATGTGCATAGCTCACCAGTCCTCCAAGTCTTAAATGTGCAGTTCCAAATTCTGAATTTATGTCTTGGGATTTGAGAGAAGGACAACTTTTATCTGAGAAATACAAGTTATTTTAATGATCAGACCCAGTAATGTGTTAAAATGAGACCGTAGTCATGTACTGTTCCCCTCTTTGAACTGTCTTTTGAAATTGTGTTCTGTTGCCACAAATGGCTATACACTTTTTTTTTCTTTCTTTTTTTTTTTTTTTTTTTTTGAGACGGGGTCTCCGTCGCCCAGGCTGGAGTGCAGTGGTGCGATCTCCACTTATTGCAACCTGTGCCCCCGGGTCCAAGTGATTCTCCTGCCTCAGCCTCTTGAGTTGCTGAGACTACAGGCACCCACCACCACACCTGGCTAATTTTTTGTATTATTTAGTAGAGATGGGGTTTCACCGTGTTAGCCAGGACGGTCTTGATCTCCTGACCTCTCGATCCCTCCACCTTGGCCTCCCAAAGTGCTGGGATTACAGATGTGAGTCACCATGCCTGGCCACAAATGGCTATAAATTAACCTAATAATTTCATACTGGACACTATAACCCACACCTTATGTGTTAATTTATATAGCCAGTCACTAACCACTTCTATAAGCCATTAAGAATTTCTGACAACTTTCTATCAGTTCCCTCTCTGCCTCCCTTTTTGCCTTTAAAAATATACTCGTCAGTTGGGTACGGTGGCTCACGCCTGTAATCCTAGCACTTAGGGAGGCGGAGGTGGGTGGATCACCTGAGGTCCGGAGTTCGAGACCAGACTGGCCAATATGGTGAAACCCCGTCTCTACTTTAAAAAAATAAAAATAAAAATAAATTAGCTGGCGTGGTGGCACATGCCTGTAATCCCAGCTACTTGGGAGGTTGAGGCTGGGGAATCGTTTGAATCCAGGTGCCAGAGGTTGCGGTCAGCTGATACCATGCCATTGCACTCCAGCCTGGGCAACAAGAGCGAAACTCCGTCTCTTTAAAAAAAATATATATATATATATATATGTATGTATCTATACATATATGCACGTATGTATGTATACACATGTATACATACACATGTATGTATATATATACACGTGTATATATATATGTATACTCGTAACTGCTTCTAATTGGAGTGTATATTCAGGGCAGCTTTATATTCCCGTGTTGCATCTTCAAGCTTTGGCCCAAATAAACTCTCTACTTATGTTTACCCCAGGTTTTTCCTTTTAGGTCAAAATATTCTTTAGAATGTGTTGAAGGAGCCTCCATGAGAGAATCTTTTCTCTGGTTTTACTCTGCTTGCTATAATCCCTAAGAATGCTGAGGCACATTGATCCCATCTAGAATATGCACATAAAAGCTGACCTCTGCCTAGGATTCACAAGACAGGACCAGACTTCGGACTGAAGACATAAAGAAAACTCATAGAAGACATTTTCTGCATCATGAGAGGTCATCCTAGGTGGAGCCCTTTGAGTTTTCCAGATCTTGTCCAGTGACCTGCTATAGTTGTGTGGGAGGCTTCTGGTATGAACAGAATCCTGTGGCAGAATCTGTTACCTGTAAAAAAGCACCTTAGCAGTGGGAGTTCAGGGCCACAAAATATTCAGAGCCAAAGTCACAACTATGCCTCCCTGTAAACTGTGTTACTGGATAGAGTAGTTTTGTCCTTCCCTTTGCCTCAGAGTTAGCTGATCACGGACAGGGGCTATCACATATGTATCCAGGATCTGCAGCTTTGCTAGGGCTGTTTCATTTTCTGTTTGCATCCCACTAATTGAGCCTGAATCTCTCCTGCCTGGATCACTATGGGGATATCAGCCCAAGGTCACTGGGGACACACTCACCAGCATCTGTATTCGAGACATCTGAAGATGTCCTGTGCAGACTGGGGTCAGTATGGCAGCAAGGTCTAATTCTGCTCCCATTTTAGAGGAAGAGAAATGACTCATTCAGGGTTTGTTCCTCCCCTCACAGAATCTCCTTGGTTTATACCCAGATAAGAGTTGCTCCAGTTTTCTAGGTTTTTTTTTTGGTGAAAAGTGAGATCTGGAGACTCAAACTGATCCATAAGCTAATTGCTTCTATTTCATATGGTCCATTAGAAAAAGAGATGAAATAGTCATGGTCCCTACCCTCAAGGAACTTGCAGTCTGGAGCACATGAATAAATGGTTGAATTCAGCATCATGTGTTCAGTACAAAGACAGAAACTGTACAGGACACTTAAGCTTCATTTGGGTTACTTCCCTTTTATTGTTTTGTGAGTTTTTATGCCACCACCTGAAAAGAGTATTCATTGACAGAAGTTGTTATTGTTAGTATTGTTTTCACCTTGCTAAGAATAAATATTTAGCTTCTAATATAATTGCTCTAGAGAAACATAAGGGATTTGGTTAAATTCCTTGTAGTATGTTATTAAAGACACAGAGAAGTGGCTAAAATAGATTAAAATTTCATAAAATCTGGGAATCAAATTTCTCTTGGGCAGGCTTAGAAAAGACAAAACTGAAAAATCTTAGTGGCATAAGAACAGAAATCTAGGTCCCACTCTCTGTCCTAACCCTGCCCAGATCCACCCTCTGCTAAACCTTGTCCAGGTCTGACCCCACACTGAAATCTCTCAGAATTGCTTAAGAGGAGATCAGAGTTTGGAGTGACTACTCCTACTGCTTCTCCAGAGCTGGTGCTCCCAATTTCCTGAAACACAAAAGCAGATAAATGGGGAAAAGCTGTATACTTTTGGGCCTTAAAATCTTTTTTTATACAATTAAAGCCAGTGTTTCTGGAGACATCTCATCCAACAACCTGTCATCTCTGCAGTTTTAGTGTTTTTTTTGTTTTGTTTTGTTTTTCCACAAATCTTAAATACAAACACAAAAATAAATTTCTCTGAATTGCATTTAATACACCCTTTGTTTCTTTGTGATGTATTTATATTGAGTGGTTATTCTATACCTTTAAAAAACAAATCAGTGGTAGGAAAATGGAAAGGAAATGGTAATTTTGGGCCCTGCATTTAAATCCTGAGAAGTATTGGACCTAATGGCCACCTCCCAGGATGTCCTGAGAATTAACACATAATGTGATTGTCTCAGCACAGTGCTCTGTGACATACTCCTGAGTACATAGTACGTGCTCCATCAATATCGCATTAATGCAGGCACACGTTTTTTTTTTTTCTTTTTTTTTTTTTTTTTTTTTTTTTTTTTTTTTTTTGAGATGGAGTCTCAGTGTGTCGCCCAGGTGGAGTGCAGTGGCGTGATCTCGGCTCACTGCAGCCTCCACCTCCTGGATTCAAGTGACTCTTCTGCCTCAGTCTCCTGAGTAGCTGGGATTACAGGCGCACGCCACTACGCCCGGCTAATTTTTATATTTCTGGTAGAGACGGGGTTTCACCATATTGGCCAGGCTGGTCTCAGACTCTTGACCTTGTGATCCCCCCGCCTCTGCCTCCCAAAGTGCTGGGATTTACAGGCATGAGCCACTGCACCTGGACTACATGTTGTTTTTCAAATGCAGACTTACTCAGACATTGACACCATCTCCAGCCTCTGTGAACTTAAACATCCGACAGAGAATGCTAATGCTTCCGGATGATGATTTGTGGTCTTGTCTTGGGATGAAAAGTATTTGTGTTGTGATAAGGTTGTTGGGGTAAGGGACTGTGCTGTGCCTGCTTTCTCTAGCCGAGTGGTAATATAATGTGTCTAAGTGGAGGAACATCAGCATTAACAGAAGACTTGCTATAAGAAGCTAATTCATGAACTCTTCAAACCTGCAAAATTTTGTTACAGTGAGGCCTAGAATATCAAATAATTATTATGCGCATTGAAGCTTGAGAGGCAGTGCTTAGCTAAGTGACTCTCAGCACAGTCTTCCAGTAGGATCACATGTACAATTTGAAGAGAAATCACTTGTGCCCTCCCCACAGACCCCGTCTGTTGTTCTGGGTGGAAACATTTCTGATTTTTAAATTAAGTTCCTTGCATATTACAGCGAGGCCAAGGTCAAGCGTGAGGCATTCCAGATACTTTCATGAGAGGTGAGTTCAATCTTTTTTTCCAGGAGGTCACAGGGCCTACTCTGCTTGGTTTTGGTAGGGGCAGGTTAGTGTAGCCCATTATTTTTATTGCAGGAACAGGAACTGTTGGAATGCCTTCCTTTTTCCGCGGAGCTATAGAATACTTTAGAGAACATTACTGTGTTGAAAGTTCTTTTGTCAGATAATCCCAGTCAGTCACATGTCAGAACTAGTTCTCTTAACTCATTTCACCTGTAGTCAAATTAAGAACTCTGTCACTTGATACATATATATTTTCAGGAACACTTAACATTCAGGGATGTGGCCATAGAATTCTCTCCAGAAGAGTGGAAATGCCTGGATCCTGCACAGCAGAATTTATATAGAGATGTGATGTTGGAGAACTACAGAAACCTGGTCTCCCTGGGTGAGGATAACTTCAATACATAATTCCTAATACTCCCTCAGAGTTTGATTTTCTATTTTTGTAGAATGTCTCTTGGGAGCTTCTGCTTTGTGTGAATTAATTTCAGTTTCTTTCTTTAAGAAACTATTGGGAGTTTTCTGGTGTAAAAAAGAATATTGTTAAGAAGTTTTATCTTTATGTAAACCTTCTCTTTTCTTGAGCTAATTTGTGTCCTCCATTCTAGGTTAGTGGTAATTCTCGAAATTCAATGACATAAAATATTGTTTCCCACATCTTAAAATACAGTTTGCACTGCTTATTTTGATTCAGTAGTACTTGGTAGTGGAACTTAGAACCCACAGATTTAAAATACTTAAATATTTTAAGGATTCTGTCAGGAAACAATTTTTGGATTATCTAGGATCTTCCATAATTTCTCTTTTCTGCTTAGTATAGTATTAGGTAGGTAATTGGAGAATCCCTAACAGTAGTCATGTTAATTTTTAAAACTAAAACAGGTGTTGCTATCTCTAACCCAGACCTGGTCACCTTTCTGTAGCAAAGAAAGGAGCCCTACAACGTGAAGATACATGAGACAGTAGCCAAACACCCAGGTAGGTGACAGTGAATGAAGGAGAGGACATAGGCCAGGGGAACAAGGTCAAGAAGGAAGCCAGGCCTTCAAATGTAGTTTGGGAAACTCTGCTCCAATGTAAATAATTTCTGAAAAGGCTGCATTTTTTTCTCATATTCACGAATAGGGACATCTTTTGTCCCACGCTGTTAAATCTTCTAAGAATTCTCTTTTTTCTTTAGTGATCTCCCTTCAAGTTTACAGGGAGAACCAATGTCTACTTTATTGTTTATAAGAGGCTGCATGATCTGACTGCTGTTCCATTGCTTTTGGAAACATAGAAATATGTGTATATTGAGCTCTATGTCAATGTATTTTTTTCAAATATTCTTTTTGTATTGTGTCTAAAATGTGTAAGGTGAGTAGTGGACATATTGGAATTTGGTTCAGAAATCCCAGGAACACCAGAGAGAGATGTTGTATCTTTTCTGCTTAGTGATTTTTAATCCTATAGAGGTTGCAAATATAATTCTACAAAAATTCTTACTCAGCAGTTTTATCAGAATAAGCATTTTCCTAAATATGAAAAAAATGTAATGTTACTTCAGAATGTTACTGTTTTAGTATAAACTGAGATTTGTGGTTTAAACTCTGTATGTGCAAATTTTCAAATTATAATAAAGTTTAAAGCACAGGTTTCCAATATTTTGGCTTCCTTGGGCCACATTGGAAGAATTGTCTTGAGCCAGACATAAAATACATTAATACTAATGATAGCTGATGAACTTAAAGAAAAAGGTTGGTGAATAATTTTTGTGATATCCACCACCTTAGATAAGCAAAAAAGCCCTCTCATTCAAAGGTTTGGCCCCCACTGGATTAAAATATTTACTCACCTTCTAGATTTCTTAAATGTACTATGACATTAACCAGCTTAGAACATTGCTAATATTAAGCATTCAGTCGTTACCTTATTTCTTAGTGACGGTTATAATTTTGTCTTATTTAGTAGGAAGCCTGAGATTCTGTCATTGAGATGTATCTGTCTATCTATAGCTATATAAAAATATGTTTCTCTCACATATACCTAAATAAGTTATATATGTGTATAGTAAATTTTATTTTATTTTTTTTTAGGCGGAGTCTGGCTCTCCTTCCCAGGCTGGAGTGCAGTGGCCAGATCTCAGCTCACTGCAAGCTCCGCCTCCTGGGTTCACGTCATTCTCCTGCCTCAGCCTCCTGAGTAGCTGGGACTACAGGCGCCCGCCACCTCGCCCGGCTAGTTTTTTGTATTTTTAGTAGAGATGGGGTTTCACCGGGTTAGCCAGGATGGTCTCGATCTCCTGACCTCGTGATCCGCCCGTCTCGGCCTCCCAAAGTGCTGGGATTACAGGCTTGAGCCACCGTGTATAGTAAATTCTTAACATTGTTGATAGATTCTTGGAAACTAAGTGAAGCAACATATCATTTTAGAAAGCGAATCTTAGGGCTGGGTGCGTTGGCTCATGCCTGTAATCCCAGCACTTTGGGAGGCTGAGGCAGGTGGATCATGAGGGTAGGAATTCAAGACCAGCTTGGCCAACATGGCAAAACCCCATCTCTACTAAGAATAAAAAAAGTTAGCTGGGCATGGTGAGGGGGCGCCTGTAATCCAGCTACTCGAGAGGCTGGGGCCGGAGAATCACTTGAACCTGGGAGGCAGTGGTTGCATTGAGCCGAGATCACGCCATTGCACTCCAGTCTAGATGACATGAGCAGAACTCTGTCTCAAACAAACAAATTTTACCAGAGTTTAATTGATATAAACAAGAGTTATGTTTGGTATATAGCAACATTGCTTCGTTTATAGTTGCCGTTTTCAAGAACCTGTTTTTTACATTAAGTGAGAACTTACTGTACATCTGTGTATGTGTGATATGGATTTTTCTGGTAAAAATAGTATAACTGTATTTAATGTTTACAATGTAATGATATGCACATATTTTGTAATAATTTGATATGCATATATTTTATTGTAAAATATAGTCAGGTTGATCAGCACATCTATTACCTACATAGATAACCATTTTTTTTTTTTGGTAATAAAAACACTTAAGGCCTACTATTGTAGCAAATTGTAAGTATACATTATAGTATTACTAACTATAAACACAATGCTATTTTGCTAATCTAATGCTATTGTACATTAGATTTCTCAGACTTATTCAACTTATAACTAAAAATTTGTACTCTTTGAACAACATCTCATTATGGTCTCACCCCTAGGCACCAACAACCACCATTCTACTTTCTGCTTTTATGAGTTTACATTTTTAGATTCCCCGTCTAAGTGAGAAGCAGCAGCAGTTTCTTTGTCTGTCTGTGTTTGGCTGATTTAATTTAGCATGATGTCCTCCAGATCTATCCATGTTGTAAATGGCTAGATTTCCTCTTCTTTTATGGCTGAATAGTATTCTACTGTATGTGTGTATATATATATGTGTGTGTGTATATACACCCCCCCCCCATATTTTGGCTATTGTAAATATGCTACAATGAACACGGGGCTGAAGATATTTCTTCAAGGTGCTAATTTCCTTTGGTAGTATACCCAGAAGTGGTATTGTTGGATTATATGATATTTCCATTTTTACTTTTTACTGTTTTTTTTTTTTTTTGAGTCGGAGTCTTGCTATGTTGCCCAGGCTGGAGTGCAGTGGGGTGATCTTGATTTACTGCAACCTCTGCCTCCTGGGTTCACGCCGTTCTCCTGCCTCAGCCTCCCAAGTAGCTGGGGCTACAGGCGCCCACCACCACGCCCAGCTAATTTTTTTTTTTTTTTTGTAGACAGGGTTTCACCATGTTAGCCAGGACGGTCTCGATCTCCTGACCTCGTGATCCACCCATCTCAGCCTCCCGAAGTGCTGGGATTACAGATGTGAGCCACTATGCCCGTCCTTTGTGCTGTTTTTTATGATGACGTTATCAATTTATATCTCACCAACAGCATATAGCACTTACCTTGTATGTATGTCTTCTTTGGGGGAAAAAAATCTAACCTTTTGCCTATTTTTGAATGACTTATCATCATCATTATTGTTTTGCTTTGAATTGTAAAAGTTTCTTACACATTTTGGATATGGATATTAACTTTTTTTTAAAGACGGAGTTTTGCTCTTGTTTCCCAGGCTGGAGTGCAGTGGTGCGATCTCAGCTCACTGCAACCTCCGCCTCCTGGGATCGAGTGATTTTTCTGCCTCAGCCTCCCAGATAGCTGAGATTACAGGCATGCCCCACAATGCCTGGCTAATTTTGTATTTTTAATAGAGGTGGGGTTTCTTCATGTTGGTCAGGCTGGTCTCAAACTCCTGACCTCAGGTGATCTGCCTGCCTTGGCCTCCCAAATTTTTTATCAGATATATCGCTTGCAAATATTTATATCCTGTAGGGTTTTTAGAAATTTTGTTTTCTTTTTCTTTACTGTGCAGAAGCAGTTTACTTTGATACAGTCCCACTTGTGTTTTCTTTTGTTGCTGTGCTTTTGACGGCATATCAAAAAAGTTATTGCCAAGGCCAGTATCAACAGGGCTTTTCCATATATGTTCTTCAGGAGTTCTAAGGTTTTTTATCTTACATTTAAATGTTTCATTTTGAGTTAATTTTGGGGTATGGTGTAAGAAAATGATCTACTTTTATTCTTTTGCTTGTGGATATCCAGTTTTTCTGGCACCATGTATTGACAAGACTATAATTTCTGCATCGTATATTCTTGGTTCCCTTGCCAAAATTAGTTGACCTTGTATGCATGGATTTGTTTCTGGGCTGTCTATTCTGTTCCCTTGGTTTTTATATCTGTATTTATGCACATACCGTACTCTTTTGCTTACTATAAGCTTTAAATAAAGTTTAAAATTAGAAGGTATGATGACCCTAGCTTTGTTCTTTCTCAAGATGGCTCAGGTTATTTACAGTTGTTTAAGGTTACACTTAAATTTTACAATTGTGTTTACTATTACTGTGAAAAAGGCCACTAAAATTTGGTAGGGATCCATTTGAATCTACAAATCACTTTCGATAATATACTTTGACAGTATCTGTTATCCTAATGGAATATGTTTTTATTTATTTGTGTCTGCTTCAGTTTTGTCATTATTGTATTTAGTGTCTAAATTTATTGTTATAAACTAGATTTTATATCTTATATTTAGTGTATAAATTTTTTCATTGGTTAAATTTATTTTGAATTAATTTCTTTTTACAGTATTGCAAATTGATGTTTTTCTTTTTTTGGAAATTTTGTTCCTTTATGGACATGAAACAAATATTTGTATGTTGGGCCAGGTATATTGTTCATTTTTGTAATTCCAGCACTTACAGAGGCCAAGGCATGTGGATCACTTGAGCACTGGAGTTTGAGATGAGCCTGGGCCTTGTAGTAAGACCCTGCCTCATAAACACAAACCAAAAA